ATGGGGAAGAGTGAGACAAAAATCTTTCAGGACAAAGGCAACATGCGAGAGGGCGGGGGAAGACCCCCCCCCCCCCTCCCTAATCGTATGGCCTGCTTGTCCTACAAAGTTTTTGTCTCATTCTTCCTCAATACTACCCTGATTGGAAGACTCTAAGAAAAGTGATAAAGAGTATCACAATATTGATGTACAGTCTTTGATCGTATATCATTAACGTCTGTCACGTTTGTGGGAGGGATCCAAATTTCTACCTCTATACTTCAACACTTCTATTAGATCGTGTTTCACCAAATAACAATACAAAAGAATGTTTATCTTTGTTTTCTTATACTTTTGATAATGTTCTCCATTCACTACTTAATTGTTGACATGGATAACACCATGGCATAAAAAAGTCAATTAACCACATATCATTTGAATTTTTATTTTCAATTAATTTTATATATAAATCATTATCTAATGTAATAACAGTTGGATGAAGTATATCATCAATGAAATTTATTATTGCTTGCTCTTGATGTTGACCATTAAAATAATGTTGAACTGATTGATTATACATTATTGTTGTTGGATATGAATTTATACCCGTTTGTTGACATAATTGTTGATGTATGGTACAATCAACTGTGCCAAAATTAATTTTATCATCCAAACGTTTTGATGCTTTACGAAATTCAGGTAATAAATGCATACATGGTGGACAAAACTAATAAAAATAAATATAGTTATAGAATTATTTTAATACAAATATTTACTGGTGAAAAGAAATCGATTATAAATGGTTTTGAATCAGTTGTTACTGACGGAAAATCCGAAGGAATTAAAGTACGTAATGGTGAAAAAGCATTATCACGAACAAATCCAGCAATATCATTAGATGTATGACGACCTTTAATTAACATTTAATTTATTCATCTTTTTTTTAAAATAAATAGATATTTACCATAATAGAATTCATAATGACCATCTCGTTTGAATAAAATAAAAGCAGGTTTTTTGAATATATATAAGTCCGTACAGGTATTTGGTGATGATGAACAATCGAATCGACCAATATTATAGTCTTAAAAAGAAAAAAAAAACATTTTTTTTTCAATAATATTTCACAAATCTCTCAAAAAAATACACCTGTCTTTAATTACTAACGTAATATTTGCACTTTTTCTTTTGAAAATGATTTAACCTTCCTATTGCATCTGTTTAATAGATATTATAAATCCTAAGGTCAAGTTGACAAGTTTTACAGCGATTAATAGTTTATTTCTCAATCATCGGTCGATCATATTTACTGAGTATTTAACATTAATATCAATTCAATTTATTAGCTAAATTTAATCTGAATTTTTTATAAAGACACTTACTAATGAACTTGAATGTAGCTATTCATTTATCAAAACACAACAAAAAAATAAAAATGTCTCTAGTTGAATTCAACCTTCTTTATCCTTAGAATAACTTTATTCTATATCGATGTGATCAATAGTTTTTATCATGATTATATCGATACGCATTATTAGTATTTAACTTTTAAATTTGCTAACTTTGTTGAACATGGTCTAAAAAGTCTGTTGAAGAATAAAGGAAGAAATTTGGACCACTCTGCTCCGAACCAACGTCACAGACATGTTAGAGACAAATCATCACAGATCGTAATTGACATATATGAACTACTTTCTTATTGTATTTCTCGAAGACTAAATTAAAAGGATGGTGAAGAAATGTATCATAAAATAAATAGAAGAAAACAACTTTCTTGTGATCAATCACATTATAATCTCACAGGAATTTCGCTATCAACTTTTTTCTTTTATTTCATAAAATTTCTTTTTTAATAAAATTTACCGATTAACATTGATGGTAATTTTCTTAGATCATGATCTTTATCATCATTAGTTTGTTCCACAAAATGAATTAACCATGGTTTAGCAACTGTATTTTGTTTTAAATGATCGATTAATTTCTAAAAAATAAAAGAAAGTAAAAATTTTCATTTTTCAATTATTTTAATTCTTCTTACATTAAATTGATCTTTTGTAATTAATGATAAATCAGGTAAAAGTGCTAGAATTTGTGAAACAATATCTTTTAAATTTAAACTTGTTATTTTATAACTATTATGCGATGGAAATTCTTCTGGTGGATAATAAAGAATAGAACTTTGCGGTTGTAATTGATTGCATACATCTGGATCAACATGACAATTAACACTAGCAACTTGTACAAGATTATTCTAATAAGAAAAAATATAAGAAAAAAAAATTGTCTTTCACTAATCAGTCAAAAAAAAAACACAAATATCTAACTTACTAGCATAATAGCTAACTTATAAACTTGATCATCATCTAAACAATCACCTTCATCAACTTCTCGACAAAATGATACAAGCCACGGTTTATTTTTATCAAATTTTAAACTCTTAAACATTTGATCATCAAATTTAATAACATTAGCCGATACAAAACTCATTGCATAACGAATAAGTGCATCTTTTTCTCTTGGACCTTGATAGGTATCACGCTTTAGAATTTAAAAAAAAAAGTTTTTGTTTTTTAATTTTAATTAAATTTCTAAATAAAATTTTACTTTGGGATAAATACGTAATGTCGGATAAGCTTGAATACCTTGTTCGTTACACATCATCCATTCATCTTGACAATTAATTGCACCAATACGAATAACACCTTCAAGTAATTTCGATATTTCACGCCACTAAAAAAATGTTCAACCAAAAAAGAAATGAATATTTTTTTTTTTTATAATTAAACATACCACTGGTGCTAAATCATGACAATGTGAACATTGTGGAGAATAGAAATTAATAAACCATGTATCTTGTGCACCATCAACAGATTGTACTAATAAGAAGAAAAATAAATCGAATGAATATTCTTATTTTCTTGTGTTTTGTTTAAATTAAATTCTTACAAAAATCTGCTCGACTAAGAGTGATAATTTCCGGATCTTCATCATAAATACCTAAAAAGATAAGATTTTCATATAAAATAGTAAAGAAAAAAGATAGAAATTTGCCAACCAAAATTATGTTGATAAAAATTCCATGATTGATATTGATTTCCACGATTAAAATCCTCTTTAAGACCTTCTTCACCATATGTATCATATTTTTTTCTTAATTCATCATCACGTAAAATTTCATATGCACGATTTATGCGTAAAAATTCTGCATGTGCATCTGAATCTCCCTACATTGATAAGAAAAAATAGAAATTCAATAAAATAATTAATTTTAAAATTTCATTTACAGTTCGTTTATCTGGATGCTTTTCAAGTGCTAGACGTTTAAATGCACGTCGTATATCACGTTGCGTAGCTGATTTTGTTATTCCAAGTAATTGGTAAAAATCTTCATTCGAATAAATATATGATGGTAAAAAAATTGAACAACTAATCAATACGTAAATGATATGCATAGTATTCATCTAAAAAGACTTATGCTAGTTTAAATAAGTACAACTACTGAGTAAAGTAAGAGAACAAATGATTTGTTCGTTCGATTTTTTTTCTTCTCTCTTATTGTCATCAGATGTGAATTCGATTGTTTGTCTGGCGTCGTTCGTTGACAAACATCTATTCAAATCGGATTGTTACACGTATGTATAACAGAAAAGAAAAAGAACGAGAAAGACGGCAAAATATTCGTATATATATCAAAATATGTTGGCGTTCGAATAGGACAAAGAGAGGAGAAACAACGATCATTGAGAATGGGCGTTTAATACAAATCGACAGCAAATAATTAACCTTGTGCCCCAATACTTTTCTATACATACATTGAAAAAATAAATTCCACCACCTACCGTCTCTTTTCTTGATATTATTTTAAAATATATTATAAGATCGATTAGTAATAAAATAAGAAGAAAAAGGAGCGAAGATCGTTAGTTCCTCTATGTAAGTAATTATGATGTAAAAAAAATGAAAAGTCACCTTTTAATTGAGCTTATGTCATAAAGAAAAAGATTACATGATTATAAAAAATTGTTAGCAAAAGAAAACAATAGACAAAAACTATAATATATGCAAAAATATTAACGAGCAAATTTAGATATAAGGAATACTGAAAATAATAATGTAAAAAAAAATAATTAATGCTTTTCCTTATCAGTTTTATATTCTTGTTACGCCAATCACCATATAAAATAAAGGATTATTTTTTCTAAATGTTCTAAAATCTTTCTTTTAATTTTGTTGAGTATTCTTCTATTTGCAACTTTCACTGAAATCAAAAAATAAAATAAATATATTATTCTCTAATAATATTTGCTAGTTCTTTGTAACTTTCATTAGCTGCTTGTATAAAATCAGTTAATTCATTTTTCATATATGATGTAACTAATAATCCACATTGATCATCATCTATTAAATAACCAATACCATATCCATCATTAACAACAGGACCAAAACCACCAGCAGCAATATGTTTTGAAGCAACTGTTGATGTTGATAGAATAGTATGATTCATTAATTGATATGATTTATCTGTATAAATTGGATGTAAATTTTTTTCTTGATTTTCAATTTGTTGTAAATACTTTAATGCAAATAAATGTCGATCAAAACCTTCACCAGTTGCTGCTTCTTTAATTAATTGTTGATGTTTGTCAGAAGATTTTTTTAATAAAGTTTTTTTTAAATTTTCATCATTTGATTTTGTTAATGTTTCAATAAAATGTTTTGTTTCATTTGTTACAGGTCGTATAGTTTCTGTACGACCATGTTTATAAACAGCTGTTGAACATGATTCATATGTTGATACAAAACGATGATGCATTTTATAATAAGACATTTGAATACCTAATTGCATTATAGCATCAGGACTAAGAGCAGATTTTTTAAGTAAATTTTTACTAAGAACTGATTCTTGATAAATATTTACATTTAATTTTGATATAAATTCATCATAATTTTTTTTTGACATATGATATTCATTTATTAATTTATCATTTAAATTAAATTCAAGTTTTTCAATACAATCATGTGTTGATGATTTAATTAATTGATAATTTGATGAATTTATTTTTCCATGTTCATTAACATCTTTATGAATATCATTACAGAAACGTAGTAAAGCAACACCATCACCCCATGCATGTTCACAATGTAAACCTAATGTTCCATCAGATAACATTATCATATTAAATGATTTATCATACCAACGATTGGATGCATTATTACATAAATATTTGCCAGATATATATTCCGAACGTTGTGCTTTACTAAGGGATTTACTTAATTTTGATGGATCATCATCGTCTATTGAGACAAGAAAATAATGCAAAATATAAAATAGTATGTCACTGAAGAAAACAAAAGTTGATGAAATAAAATCGTTTTTTTTTAACTCTAAAAGATCAGAAATCTAGCAGATGAATTGGCTTTTTTTCTTTACATCATTATCGTGGGCAGCGTTGCCAATATTTTTTTAAAGTGGAAGGAGCTAAAAATCCTTCAGAAAGTGCTTTATCATCCACGAAATGTTAGAAGTAGTGACCGGAACGGAGAAGAAACAGAACGAAACCTACTATGCTTTGGCTCCTTCACAACAGATGACCTGCTACTAGACTGTCCTTTCTCAATCCTATTCATCTCGCAACAATATTGTCTGCTTATTATTATTTCACTTTCTGTCAGACAAAAGAAAATAGTTTTTCGAAATTCAGTTTCTATTCAAAGTTATCACGAAGCTGTAAAAAATTAGCAGAAATTCAGATATTTGTCCGAAGGAGGAACTCTTAATCTAGAATTCTGATCTTAACAGCTGAGATATCTGCCTTTGTTTTATCTAATCGAATTTACATATGAAAATAACGTGTATTCTAGTAAATAAGACTGACACTACATGAATCAAATTGAGTATTTAGATATAATACAAACAAGAAGGTCAAGAATATATATTTTCAAACCTCTAAAAATTTCTTCAATAGAGTATCTATCCATTAGATTATATTTATTAGATATGTTCGCTCATGATAAGAAATAAGGTTCTTTATTTATATAGTTCTAGAGGTGGACGAGTTCTAATAACATTTGTTTAATAACTGCGATTCGGCCCAAGTCATTTATTCAAAGAAAAGTACAAGTTGACTATTCAAAATTAGAATCGTTTTCAAAAGAAATAGATAGTTTTCTGCACGAAGAAAATTTAACCAATGATCTTATTCACAAAAAAATGACTTCATACCAATCACTTAATCAGCTGACTAGGAAAATCATATGTGTTCCAGTTGCATCAGTATCAGGTGAGCGTATGTTTTATCAAAACTATTGTTTAAGTTTTTCACAAGCAAATATTTTTATTTTAACACTTGTAAAGTACAATAAGACATTAGCTTAAATGTGAATAAATAATTTTTTGCTTGTAAACAGTTTTAAGCTGAGACTTTTGTTAATAAAATATAATGCTCTCTTTACTGTGATATGGAATTGCATAAAAAGCAAAAGTTGATTTTTCTGTTCTGATTCGCTTGATAAACCTATAGTAATCAGTAGTAAAGTGTGCTGAGTGCCAGACACGCATATGCTTATCGTTTGGTAGTCATATAATTTTATTTGATGTACGATTGCTCTTTTTTTGTTTTTGTGCATTAAAACTAGTAACTAGATATCATGTTATGAAAAACGAGTTGTTAAGGTTTTTTTATGTAAGTAGACAGAAGATAAAAAATGGTAAAAATAATTTGACTAGACTCGAAAATTCGCTTGACTCGGTCAGCTCTGGTATAGTTTGTTTAAGATAATTCGTTGTTTTTTTTTAATTTTATTATGGATTCAATGTCATAATTATAAACAGAAACACATTATCAGATCATGTTCTATAATTTGAGTCAATAAAGATTCGGTGCATGAAGAAAAAATATAGAACATAATTGTTGAAATAACTTGATCAGAGTGAAATATCATCACCTTGGACTAGCCCTATATCACACGCTTTTATAGATTATATTATAACCAGCAGCGACATGAAACGGTCAGAGTCGAAGAGTAGTATGCTCAAAAATGGGAGAAATGTATGGTCCAACCTAATAGCATTCCAAATCAGTAGAAGTTGATTACACATAATATAATTTTTTTGCAGTTAGAAATACGTAAAAATGTTGTGCTTTCGAACGACTTATACATAAAAGTCAAAAAATTGAGGTAAGTTCCTTAAGTTACACGGAACTTAAACTATTTACTACGTAGAAAACATTAATGCAAACTCCTAAAATATTCTATTTTCTCCTAAAACTCCTTGTAGTGGCAACATTTTTGCAATCAGCACAGAAAAGTTTGTGAATCTTTTCCATCGTCATGTTAAGGACAGCTATTAATCAAAGTAATGACTGACGAGTTTCATTAGAAACTCTCAAACTCATACTAAGTTTTTCGAAAATAGCCAAACCAATTTTGTCTAGTAAAGGTAGCTGAGATACGAGTTACGCTTAGAGATTCGAGCTATTACATAAGTCATAGAGTGATGTTCAGCTTTGTTACAATATTTTGAAAATCTGTTCAAGTTCGCTTAGTATCGACAAGGGTGATAAAAATCGTGCGTCTACTTAAGAACTCCAAAAAATGTTTTTGAATTATGTTACTAGAAAAACTTCAAATATTTTAAACATCTCGACTTGTTGCAACAAGTCATTAAGATTTTAGGTAGTTTCAACCACCATTTCATTGATGAAATAGTTTCATTACATCAAATCTTCACAAAATCTGAATAGAGATGGTAAGATGAGTCTACTCTATCCTGCAGGATCGGTTAGGGTAAGAGTAATAAAATTTTTTGTCACTCAAAGTACAGACTACGAAAAAAACTTACCCTGCCCATCTCTATATCGAAGAAAGGTATAGTACAAATCTTTCGAAATTAAAAAAAGAAATAGTCAACAGACTTCTTCAATTCGGAGAAAGTCGAGCTCTGATAATTTTCCTAAAATGAGAAAATGATACAGTCCAAATCTCAATAAATTGGTGCAACATATAGTCCTAATTTCCTCTAGCTCTTAGAAAAACGCGTATCGTAAATTTTCTCTAAAAAAAAGAGAAAATTCATCAGAGAATTTTTTCAAATCGAGAAAAAGATGCTATAAAAATTTTTTATAACAGGAAAGTTGATAAAAAGATTCTTATCTAATATAAATGATGTCTCAAATAATAAAACGATCTATTAATTAATTCATTTTGATGAAAAATATTACAAAAACTAACCTAAACATATGAGCATGATTGCACTATCAATTTCTTTCAACATTTGTTTATTATGTTCTGAAATTGCTTCAATTTGTTCACGTACTAATGCCCATCGGTCTCGTTTATCAGCTGTAAAATATCCTAATGGATATTTATTTCCTTCTTCATTTAAATCTTCATATAAATATTTCATTATTGATGCAATTTTTTCAGCCGGTAAAAGTTGTCCATTTTTGTCTAAAATATT